ACACACACACACACACACAGACACAAATGGAGTCGTAGTGCAATTTATAGAGAATAAGTCAGCTACTCTCCCATGCCCATGGACTATCGTGCATGTTTAATCATTGAGTATAGGCCTGTCTTATTACTTTACACACGGCACGTAGTGGTGAACTGTGAAACTCTCCCTGCCATTTTGATCACAACCACTCGCGTTTAATCAAATCCATTGAAACCAGATAGCACGAAGGCATCGTAGTAGGGTTTGTTGTGCAGTTCATGGCACCAATTCCACGCCGACGTGAGGCGACCATCGATGCAGCTACCACCGTCATCGCCCGAGCCGTCAAAGGCATGCTTGAAGAAGTCCGACAGGATCATCAGCTTGAGCTTTTCGTAGCTGCCGTATTTGGATTCCAGAAACCCTTTGAGGCCAGGGTACGTGATGCTTTCGCCGGTCTTCTCGTCGTCGCGGCAGTCCCCCTTCCCGAACGCGCGCTGCAGCTCACGCAGCACGTGAACGATCGGCTGCACGATACGCGGGATCACGGTGTATTTGTCAATGAACACCAGCGGGTTGGGAACATCGCGATCGCCCAGGTGGATCACCTTGATGCCCACCCAACCCCCCATTCGATGCTCCGCGTGTTGCACGCACGCAGACATCGCCGAGTAGCTCTTCGGAGCGAAACACATGCGGTGGTAGCCCTGCCCCGTGTTCACGAAGTCGTAGCGACCACCACCATCCACCAGCATATCAGCCTCAGCAACCTCCCACATCTCGAAGATACGCCGCTGCACCGTCTCCCAGAGATACAGGGATTCCCGGACGTACTGACATTGCAGCTTGTGGTTGTGCGAGAACCGGGCTCCGCCACGTCCCGCCGAAATCGACAGATTGTACACGCTGGAGCTGTCCATGCTCTGAAATTCCTCCTTCACGCACTCCGAGAGGAATCGCAGCGGGCGGCAGTTCGATCGCAGGAACTGGCTAACATCGTCCATCGAGCGCAGGCAGCGCTCCACCACACCCCTCCTCTCGGGATCGTCGCCGCCATACTTGTTGATAATCACCTGCATTCCTTCCTCCTTTTCCTTCCCCCGCTTGCGAAGGTACCCTACGCTCGTCAGCTCGTTGTCGTGCAGCAGCTGCTCCGCACCGACTTCCCTGAGGGCTGCCCCCACCGTTCGACAAGGAATGACCAGGCTACTCTGAATGCCCAGAATGGAGGCCACAGTTCGGTTCTGGACGTCCTGCAAAAGCATCACGAGCTTTCCGTATTCCTCGCGGTGACTAAAGGGGTTCAGGCGCTTGTGCCGGCGCAGGATCTCGAAGAATTCCTCCAGCAGCGGCACCAGCACCGACAGTTTGGTGTCTCCCGCTAGCAAGGCGTTCTTGGTCGATTTCGGGATCACATCCGAGGCCACCGCCAGGCCGGTGATGATGTCAAACAGCTCCACCATGGCCTTCACCATCCGCTTCTTTGTATCATACGGCCTCCTGAAATCGTCGACGTCGTCGGTGTACTCGCTCACCTTTAGTGCAGCCACCACCAGCTGTAGCTTCTCCCGCTCCACGTCCGTCAGCCTGAGCAGGCACGTGGAGTAGTCCAACAGCATGAGCCTGTGTGCTTATTATGCGCCTAGCAACTAATTCTTACCTTCAAAGCCCCCGTGAGGCGAACCCGGCCGCGTGAAGGAAGATGGAGAGGAAAGGGGGAGGGAGAGTGAATGAGCCCAATTGGATACCATTTCCCATCCTAAGGATGCAATGCACAGTTTATAACAAGCAGTAGAAACATACCAATTTGACCCATCACATGCGCGCACCTGTGAAGGTGACCCTTACGTGACAGTCCACACGGGCCCACCACTTGTGTCAACTGAGTCCAGGTGCGGGCCGTCTCCCCTTTGAAGGGGCATCCCCTCATTTGTCTGGATTCCCCCTCTTCTGCAATGGTGTCACACAACACATCGTAAGAGAGCGTGTGGCTCTAATAACAAAAAAGGTACGGGGTACCGATCAATTGCGATATCAATGGACTCCTCGTGAGTGATGACTCGCACTTAGGGCGGAACGAATCCACCAACATGATGGTTTTGAATGTATCGCATCTAATCGCATCATCTCGGACCGAACTTCCGGTGTGCCGATTTTACGTTTAGTATTTGCCGCAAGTATGTTACTTGGGGTATGAAGAATGCTTTCCTCCCATCCTCTTCATCGAGCCTAGCTTTCAAAGTGCGACCCATGAAAGAGGTGCCATGAGGGTTTCGGATTCCATCTTGGGAACTTTTCCATCAAAATCTGCCATATCTTTGAGGTAAACTGGAGGTGCTTTCTTATGAGTTGCTTTACACATGCCGATGTTGCTGATCAGTTAAACGACATCGTGTGGATGTAGGCTTCAGTTGTCGGTAAGAGATTTTCTTTCATCTTGGCTTACTGTGGCTTGCATTAAACCAACAGACAAGGAAAGCTAGCGATGACTGAACATTTATCCTCGAACTGGCAGTATTCCAATAAAAAAAGTCCCCCAAACCCATTGATACTAACGGAAGCTCAATACACGCTATCACAACGTAACGTACTCTATTCAAGAGTGCAATGCTTCTTGATTCTTTACCCTTTCTATGTTTAACAGACGAATACTTCATCAAAATATCATCGTTTGCGGTCCCGACACCAGGTCCAGTTTAGATCGTGGAATCCTCCTACCGTAATGCCCATACTCTGGAGAAGGGGGTAGTTTCTCATTTTTTAAAAGAACAACGTGGACGCTACAAGAACATTTTCATCTTGATATGAGTAGATCCCCGCACGCCTGCGAGCCTTAATCCACTCTTAGCACCATGTCTGCAACCGTCCGAGGGTCGTCTTCGGAGTCTGTGGATGAGTCTAAGGTGATCGCATCCTTTCTTGCTTCTGAGCTCTCCACGGATGGCAGCCACAGCTTCCCATCGGGTTCCGCATCGGCAGCCCTAATCGAGCTCAGAGCCATCCGACAGGCGTCTGGGAATTCAAAAGGAACGGACGCCACGACGTCTCGAATCTGCTGCTGCGTCGACTCTACATTCAACGTCTGGGGATCGTTCAACGCCGCCGTTAAGGCTTTTCGACAGCATTCCGAGGCCTCGCTTTGAATAAGCTGACAAATGTTCACCGCACTTTGTATAGCTGTACGTCTGGAGCCGAGGTCGGCCTCCTCCCAGCGCCGTAGGATCACCTGGAACGCGGAGAGCTCCACCACCACGACGAGCCCGGGAAACTTCCCCGCCCGTAACTCCACGACTTTTTTCGCACAAAGCAGTTTGAATTGCTGTCGAAGGCCCGCGATTAAGTTCGCCAACGCGTTGTCATTCGGACGCCCCATGGCGAGCCTCGCAGCCACTTCTATTGTTTGAAGGAGGGCACGCATTTCGGTGGCTTCACCGTGCGGGATCGGGAAGGGTTCGTCGCGGCAACGCCTCAGCACCTCCCCGGCGTTCGGCGAGAACTGCTCCTCCAAGGCAAGTCGGAGGGCCTTGCCGATCGGGGTGAGGGGATCTTCTTCATGGGTGGGAGATGCATCACCGGATTCTGGATGAACCGTCGTCGTTGGATTAGGGGGGAAACGATGAAGCAGGGCTCGTCTCCACATCAAATAGTTAAATGAGTCGGACGGATCGGGTCCCTCCGAGCTCGATGACGGGTGTTTGATACATTTTGCCGCGCAGGGCTCAACTAGACGATTTCTATAGTCAGCCATTTAATGAAGCTTGATGTACGCGGGGATACACCTAGTGACATAAAATTGGTTTTCGGGAAAAAAACGTATACTATTAGCGCGCCTTCCCACATTGGTAACTACAGACAGTGAAATAATTTACAGCTCAATGATCAATAACATAGTAAGAGTATTACATAAGTCCATGATAACAGCATATCCCCATAGATATTAAAAACAACCACCCAACCAAAGGGAGATATAGCGTGCTAAGCATGGATGCACACACACACACACACACACACACACACACACACACACACAGACACACACACACAGACACACACACACACAGAC